CAATGGAAATGTAAGTTCAAAAAGTGTTTCTTGTCTTCCTTTTTGACTAAGTGGAAGGACTTCTCAGCGGACAATAATGTCTCAAATTGGACATATAAATACAGTGGCTGTGAGGCGAGCGTCAGGACCTCCTCACGTCGTCTTACATACTGTCCCACACAGGCGCACGCTTACATATGCCTGTGAGTTCAAGAACACACCTCAGTGAACACAAGAAATGGATGCGTTTTTCTGTTGGTGAGGTGAGAAAAGAATTGTCTCATGTTATTATAGACAACAGAGGAGTTGACTCTTGTCTCCATATATATAAAGATATAAAATAATATGTAAGTTATTATTATTGTTATTATGATGATTATTTTTGGTAGTTCTGGGGATTGAATCCACAGTAGGCAAGCACTCTACTACTGAGCTACATCCTCAGCCCTTTTTATTTTGAGACAGGGTCTCACTGAGTTACTGAAGCTGGTCTTGAGCTTTTTTTTTAATATTTATTTTTTAGTTGTAGTTGGACATAATACCTTTATTTTAATGTGGTACTGGGGATTGAACCTAGGGCCTCGAACGTGCTAGCAGAGCCCTCTACCGCTGAGCCCCAGCCCCAGCCCCACGGCCTTGAGCTTTTGATCCTCCTGCCTCAGCCTCCTGAGTAGCTGGGATTATAGGTGTGTTCCAACACACCCGGCTGTTCAACTATCTTTTAAAAATGTCCATTCTGGCTGTGTAGCAAGATATCAGGTTCAAAGCTAGCCTTGGAAATTTATTGAAACTCTATTTCAAAATAAAATAGAAAGGCCTGAGATGTAGCTCAGTGGTAGAGTTCAGTCCCCAGCACTGCAAACAAAAGGGGGTTAAACAAAACTGAGTTCTTAAAAAAGGCAGGAAGCAAGTGTAACGGTGTAGAAGAGACTCCTATGAAGAAAAACCTTGATGAGCTTTAAAAAGCAACCCTGGAGGAGCTGAGGTATTTGTAGGAGTAGCAAGCAAAAGAATGCCACCGAATCTGCCCTCCACAGCCTAGGGAGCGGGCCTTGCCGACAGCCCTGTCCCTGTTATAGACCTGTGAGCGGTCCAGAGCTGTCCGTGTTTACAGGACTCGTACATGTGCGACAGGTATTTCATGGGGGAAAATGCAACAGAAAAGCTTTCAACCACCTAAGGTGAGGGAAGGAGAGGCCTCTCCTGGGCTGTCCCCAGCCCGCCACCCCTCCCCATGGTGTGACAGCATTCAGCCACCATCCCCTGTAAATCACCCCAGAATGTGAGTGACGGTGCCGTCTAGGCCTGGCCTCCCCTTAGAGGTCTGCTCCCACACGGCAGGAGCAGGGCTTTATTTTACCGTGTATCACAAGCAAAAGCAATGGAAAGAATTCCACAATTCCACGCCAAATCTTTTTTTTCTTCCTCCCTCCCTTGAAATTTGATCGTATTCCTAACTTTATTCAACTGCCTGGTTTCCTCTCCCTAATGGAGTGAAATTTATGTGCATGATTAGAGCATGGGCTAGGGAAAACCGTTGGAGTTTTAAAAGCTACATGTTTAAGCAATAGATATGGGGATCCTGGAAGAAAACTGGAATGTTCAGGATGTTATCGCAGACATTCCAATAGCTCGCCATTTCCATCCCGTTAGTAGGTAACGTGGTGTTGAACTTACTGGGGAGAGAAAACGTTGACTTGAAGCTTCTCGTAAGGACTGCCTAGAGGTGCAGCTTTGGGGCTAAGATGTCTGAGGGTTATTTTGAAAACAAGGAGGAAGGTGGCAGGCATCACAAGAGCCACCTTGTTGGAGGAACACTGATGACAGGGTAATCCCAGACCCACACATTCAGCAGCTCGCGGGAAGCACGCAGCGCTTCTTGTTGTATCCGTAGGTTCTTCACTCCGAATTTCAATCCTGATTTCAGTGTACCAGGGAGAGTCACTATGAACAAAAGGACGCGCTTAAGACCTCCCTGGGCCTTAGGTCTTGGTGTGGTGGACCTCCCTGGGCCTTAGGTCTTGGGTACAGTGGACCTCCCTGGGCCTTAGGTCTTGGTGTGGTGGACCTCCCTGGGCCTTAGGTCTTGGGTACGGTGGACCTCCCTGGGCCTTAGGTCTTGGTGTGGTGGGCCTCCCTGGGCCTTAGGTCTTGGGTGTGGTGGACCTCCCTGGGCCTTAGGTCTTGGGTG